AGCAAAAAATTAATTTAAATTAATTTTTATTACCAATTTTTTAATCTCACGGTTTGATTGACGACGTCCCATATATATGTTTCAATTTTAAATAAACAAAAGCAAAAAATTCAAAAAACTCCATAATAAGCTTTATAAAATTGGCAAATAACTTTTAAAATACTGCTTCTATAAAAAGTTGATGCACTTTAAAGCTATAGACATCCAACACCATAGTTATCTTGAAATCGGTAAAATCCTTAAAATCCACAGAATCTCCAATTATCACATGATATCATTATTTGCAGAGGTCACATCCTTTTGCAAAGCACAATAATTTATATAGGTTTTTGCCTTGAAAAAATGACCTTATGGGGCATAGTAATTACTATCGCTATGTCCCATAAGGTCATTTTCAAGGCAAAAACCCAAATATATACTGTATTATCGAAATTTTAATTTATTATGAATCCAATAATCCAATACATATAAATGTCAAATTTTCCATTACGGTAAACGTCTGAGCTTTTATAGCATACTGTTTATGATTTCATTGGTTGCTCCGTGATAAAATTTCGTCAGATAACCTTGTTATAAACATTTTTCTGTTCTGTTGAATACTAGGTATAGTCAACCCTCCATAAGTGAATGATATCGGGAAAAAGTGGCTTAGTCTCAACTACATACGTTTATGACTAACCAAATGTTAGAATTTTAGAATTATAAAGGGAAAATGCATGTGAAGTTGGGGTGCGCGGTCAACTATGTAAATTGTGAGTACCCAGCCATCTTCATACTTGTTATTGTTATTGGTCATGTTGTTGACGATAACTGATTATTCACTAGATGCTGATATAACCCACCGTTATGACATATATCTCTGACATAAGCACCTAGCATCTTTGTTGGGTCATTTTTAAAACGTGATACACAAATTTCGCTCACCTCCGATAGGAGGTGAGCAAAGTTTGTGTATCATGTATAAGAAGTGACCCAATAATGGTGTTATCCGGCAATTTATGATCATGATTGGTAGGGAGTCACTCGCTGAGTTTGTTTTTTTTGAATATTGGAATAACATAATTACATAGTAACACATGAAAAAAATAACAAAAAGAAATTTTTTCATGATCATAAGAGTTTGCCGGATAACATGCATTTATTGGAGGTCTAATAATCAGGGTGGTTTATCACTTATATAGTTTTAAATAGCAAAGAATGTTAGATGTAGAGAACGAATTACATTATTTTTTTCAAATGTTTTGGCATATATCAATCCTTAAACATATTTTAACAAAGTTACGTTAAAAATACTTCATGTAATACTTCCATATTAGTAATCAAAATTCGAATGAAAATTTAGACAAGACGGAAAGAAAAGAAAAAAAGAAACTTTGTTAGAAATATATTTAAGATTGATTTCATGTTAAATCATTTGAAAAAAGTAATATAATTCGTCCTCTACTGTATATTTAAAAACGGTTCTTTAATAATAGTAATCGTATATCAACTAAATATTCTTTAATAATAGTAATCATATATAAGCTGTCAAGATCACTATATACTGCTGTGCTGTACATAGGCCGTAAAAAAATCAATAACGGATTTTTATATAACACCACATATCGTTTTTGATCTAAATAGTTGGCAGCGCACCCATTCATTAAGGTTATTCAGATATACTTATAAAGTCAGAGTTTCGTCGAACAGTTTAAAAAGACTCAGGCATTCAAATGTGCAACACTGCTCGTGGGTTGATAATAAATATTTTTAAAGTTGGCGAGGGAACAAGTATTAAATATCGAACATCGATCGAGTTGCAAGGGAAATCAAATGTAAGTAACGATAAGCTCCGTTGATCAATTCACATGCCAAAAATTAGTATATGCGTGATTATTAAGGAAATCGATCATTGTCACAGAATTTCTTACTATTCCTGCTTGGGTCGCTAAGGAGGTGACTTTAATGTTATTACAATGCTTCACAAATTTCATATTGTCTAATAAAAATGGTATGATGGTATAAATAGATTTTTTAATATAACGATATACTAAGGCTCACGATCCAGTGATTTTTGTTACCTTTTCGGAACAAAAGCTAATTGGCTTTTTTTATATTTTGTCATATGAATGTATGATCTACACTTTAATACTTTAATAGTCAAAATGACAAAGATATAACGATAAATGATAACGGAACGACAAATAGCCGGCACCATAAAAGGCATGTGATTGCAGGGGGGATTTTGAACAGCATATACATTACATAGTTGCATTTCTTAATATCATGTAGCATTGAGACATGAATCAAAAATTTGTAACTTGAAACGAAGAAAATTCTTTTAAAAAACAAATGTATTCATTCGATCTTGTAATCGAAATAATAAATATTAAAAGGAGTTTAGCCAACTAAGATTCCTGATGATATATAGCATGCACTTTGATTCCCATGAAAAAAAAATTACGTAAAAAAGAAGGAATTTCCTAAAATATCAATTGTTTATCACGATTCTTTGTGCATAAAGAGTGCGAGATAAAAAAAAACCCCAAGCCACTAAAAAAGATCTATAATGATTTCTTTCTTTGTTCGGAAGACTTCCGGAAAGGTTCTTTTTTTCACATATGTCTAGAATTAGAAGCTAATACATACACCTTTCCATATTTCGACTATTATTGCGATTACGTATGTAACCGTATTTCTCCGAACACTTCGACATAGAATGGACTAGGTAAATAACAGAAACCTATTAGCATCGGTAAAAAGAAATAATTACATTTGCATGATCACGTGATTATTCTAATCAATGAAATAGATGATGTCAAAGATTGTTGTGCAACAATTAATTACCCGCTCAATCTAAATTACCCGAATTATGAATTATGTAATGAGCGCACAAGCGCAGGTAACGGTATCGGTATGGTTATCGCAAAAACTTGTACTACACTAATTTCAGATCAGTATATAAACATGCAGTCGGTAAACTTATTATCATTTTTTGTCCTTTTCCACCTCATAAAAAATGGCCAACTATTTACCAGCAGATTGTCTTGAGAAAATTTTAATATATTTTTATGAAGATGTTAAAACTCTGCATTCATGTACCTTAGTTAACACTCAGTGGTGTGAAAGCGCAGTGGTAATATTATGGAGTCAACCATTTCGACTTTTACATGCATTTAGAGATAAAAAAACTTACTTACCATGGACAGAGAGAGCAGCCAGTCTTCTTAAAATATATATGTCATGCCTTCAAGATCAAGAAACATGTAACCGTCAACCTCATAAATTACCTATTTTTAATTACATTCAATTCTTAAAATGCTTAGATATTAGTGAATTTTCAGAAGCAGTATTGGGATATTTGCAAACAGGACAAGGTAAATTCATACATCAACCAACCTTCTCTTATACCAAACATTCTTTCAACATGAGCGTTTTTGGACAAACAGTAGTAAAACCCCAACGTGTGGGGTGTAAAAAGATCATGGCTTCCGCCTCAATAAATGGATGTGACACCATTACCGCATATTTGCTCAACACAGATATTCTTGGAAAACTTTTAATGAATCGTTCCGTAATTATTAAGTCTTTGTATGTTACTAATCAAAGATCGTGTGCAATAGAACCTCATTTATGGTTACATACACTCTTTCCAAATACCAATCATCGTTTATCGCAACTATCTAGTTTGATCTGCACAACACCATGCCACGCACAATTATTTCATACACTTTCTAGATTTGCTGTCCATTTACAAACTATAAAAATTTGGATGGACATTCCACCCGCAAAAATTAATCAAAAAAATTTGTTGAAACACGGAATTGAAAGTCTTAATGCACAAGTTGAAGGTATTTCTATATTAATTAGATCTCAACAAGAATTAAGGGAATTTGAACTTGGATATACCGAATTAGGATTAAGTGATATTATTTCAGCATTAACCACCCAGATAAATTCGTTACGGAGTATTACATTTTTCAAAGTTAATTTTAAGAATTGGAAACCACTTCTTAAGTTACTTGAACTTGCAAATTTAGAAGAGCTTTTATTGAATTCGTGTTATTATTTGCCAACTTGTATTGCGAGTTTGTCAACTGGTATTGAAAATATTACAAACGTTTATGAATTTGAGTCTAGAATTGAAAAATTGGAAATTTCATCTGCGCCATGCGGAGTAATTGAATCTATTTTACGTAGAGCAAACGTTAATTTAAGTGAATTGGTTATTTCCAATATATCTACACCACCTTCTACACTTAACACAACGATTACTTCAGTTTCAATGTCATCACAACAACAACAACAGCAGCAGCAACAACAACAACAGCAAACGATCGCAACCACACTTCCACCAAATCGAGTTGTGCAGACTATTTCACAATGTTGTCCTAATTTAACATTGGCAAAAATTTATATTGATGCCAATTCATTACCATATTTACATACGCTCCTTCTTTCATGTTCAAAAATACAAACATTAACAATATTTGGACCACGACATCCAGAAATAAATGTAAATAAAGTACTTCGAGAATCAAGTTTAGTTAATTTGAAATGCTTGGAAAATTTATCTATACATTCATGTTGGACATATACACCCGAAAGTTTGGATTTATTTTTAAGTAACCCTACATTAAAGTTGAAAAAATTAGAAATTTTATGGAGCGGATGTTTTGGAAATGAACATTTAAATGTTGTTTTGAAAAGATTATGTTTTAGAGGGACAGAAATGAGAAGAGAAAGTGGGAAAGGGATAATACGTGGAGCAGATCGACAAAGAGCTAGAGGTAGCCTAATTGTTAAAAGAAATAATGGATTAGAATTATTACATATACAGACGCAAAAAATATTAAAATATGAAAAAACGCGAGAAATTAAAAAATTAATTAAAGACTTTAAAGTAGGTAATTGGTAACGATAATGACAAATCATTAATTGTAAAATATCGATAATTTAAAGATCACATGTAGATAATTTTTTAGATATAAAGTTTGTTTCTCGAATTTATTTTTTCATTTTATTATTTCTGTTTAATTAAAAATAAATAAATAAAAAAAAACTTTCTAAACTATAAAATGACATTTATCATTATAACCTTAAACACTTTTAATTTGAGTATCACGTAGTACTTGTAGCACTGTTTAAGGAGTGAATATCTAATTCATAAATGTCATGCGATCAAACGGAGTGAGCATCCGATTAATCCGATTACTGATTACGCACTCAGATAAGGTCAGACTTTTCTCCTCCTAAATCTCTCAAATGCAAATGCAAAAACCGTCATCAGAACGGATAAAATGATGTCATTAGAAGATCTTTTATTTTAAATATATATTATCGTTATATATAGACATTATTGGAAATAAAAACACCACATTTAGAGAAATTAAAAACAAAACTTGTATTTAATATATCGTACGATTAAAGTGGCAGCATTTTTTTTAAAAAAATATTCTCTTTTTGGTTATTATAAATTCCATGAAAAAAAAAAAAAAAAATTAAGCCAAGAAATTAAGCAAGAGGCACAGTCGGTTCATCGGTTCTATTGGTTAATCGGTTTTTATTATAATTAATATACAAGCCGGTAGAGCCGTTTTGCAACTTTATATATTAGGTAATAGATAATGCTAAGGCACAGCACTTAGAAGTATTCCCAAATACGTCATTATATTTAGAATTACAGGGTCAGGCGTACAAGGGGCGGGAACCTAAGGATATTATATTTGCAGTTTCCCTAATGTTGAGTGCATCTCTCCGGACATAGAATTTAATATAAAAAAAGTAAAAATCTGCGGCTAAGAGAGAATCGCTGTATGACGAGTTTTATATTCAATTTCGCCTTTACGAAATATAGTAATTATAAGTATTCAAGCTTATTAATATTTTCAAAAGTTAATTTAAACTTTTGGTTATTCGTTCTCAATTTTTGGTCGATCTTTCCTAATTTTTTATGTAAGTATGACGATCTATTATGCACCAATGACCATCTTTGCCCTCTTTATTTTTCCCCGATTTCCTGCTTTGAAATTATTGAATAAGCATTGCTTTTATGGTGTTTTGGATTTTACGTATAACCATGACTTTTTCGTTTAAAGCAAAAAAAAACCGTGGTTTGGTCCAAGCTTATTTGTAATACAAGATCCAATGTATCACATAATAGAAATTTAACGTTAGAAAATTTTTTTTTTTTGCCACGCCTTTTTTTGTTCACCTCAGAAATACCCTAATAGAATGCCACACTTAATCAATTTTCCCTTTGAAATTATCGTTGAAATATGTTCATACATCGATTTATATTCACTTAACGCATTAGCTCTTTCTTGCAAAGACTTGACATTCATTCTTAAACATCCTCCTCTGTGGCGCCACATTCGTTTCATAAATCTTGAAGAACAAAATCAAATTGAAAGTCAATTTTTATCCCCTCTTAAATATAAAGCTTTCAAAATTCCTTATAAATTGTCTCGCATCGATGATAGGCGTGCTCGTCAACTTCTTAACATGTTACAAAGGAATAACTTGTCGTCTGTGGTTTGTTCTATAAACTTTGACTTCACGTCTATTAACTGTACTTCAATTTGGGAGTCTATAAACGGGTTTCTAAATCTTGAAGAAATAAGTTGTCGTGGTTGTTTAAATCTTTCTTTACGTGACTTGGGTACGGCTCTAACTTGGTTTGAACCATTAGTACCAGTATTAAAATTAAGAAAATTACAAGTACTTTGGTGTAAAGATATGAGTCCAAGAACAATTATGAGACAACGCTTATATGTGAATGATGTAAGTGACTATTATAGTAACGTGATATTCGGTTTTTTGAAAGCTTTGAAACAATTGAAAACTGAGAGGCCAATACTACTTGATGTTGGTAAAGTATCATTTCAATAATTTTTGCTTGTTATACGATGAATGTTTGAAAATGTAATTTTATTAATTTCTTTTTTTTTTCCGTTTACTTTTAGATACATGCGGAATGTGTAGAACAAATGTAACTATTACTATTCCATGTTCAAATTGCAAAATTCAAAGAAGCTTTTGTGTGAGCTGTGATTTGGATCGTGGATGTTTAGATTGTTTTAGATTTTATTGCGGTACCGATTCATGCAAACCATCATCGTCGTCATCACATGTAGATCCATTTTTGGCGCCTGGTAAAGGTAGTGGTGGAAAAAGTATCGCCATATGTGATATATGTCATGGAGGTTCGTAATGTATTAGGAGATACTCGGTTTTTTTTGTTTTGTGATAAATGTTTATCAGTTCTGAGTATCGGGAAAAAATTATTTCTGCCTCGTTATGATAATATTATCCTTTATATAAAAATTCACATTATAGCATAGCATCGATATGGTTAATAATAAAATTTTTAAATTGTACATACTCTTAATAAAATTTACTAAAATTTCTCACTGTTATAGTTTATTAAAAATTTTAGAAAATTAATCGTATGGACAAAAATTTTTGATGGGAATATTGTGATTATTAAAATTAAGTGATGTGACGGATTAAAATGAAATTGGATTAAAATGAAGTAAAAAATAGACAAGCCACCGAAAAATAAAAATTTTTGAGGTGCACTTTTTAAGGTTAGGGGTTAGGGTAAGAGGTTAGAGTTTATAATAAACAAGTATAAGTGGGTTTTAGAGGGTTAAATAGAAACTCTCATTTCATTTTAATCTGATATTATGATTCACGACAATTATTATTATGCGGCTTCATGACCAATTGACCAATTAAATACATTGATGATTTATAATTGTTATGCGGTTTTAGAAATGCTTCATAAGCAAGAAGAGCAATTAACCAATTCATTTTTACCGGTATCATGAAATATTATCATCTAATTTTTAATAATCACCAAAATCAAAAAATTCCCCCATTAATGCAGTAATTAAAGTGGTACAGTATATTAATTATATAATTAAAATTTGGTTTTTTTATTTGCCGGATTTGTTGAAAATATGATGTGTGATAAATAGAATTTTACAAAAATATATTGTAGCGGGTTATTAAAATTAAGCAGACACTTTCTTAATTGTTAGATAAATTTGTTATAATTTATTTTAAAAATTTTTTAATTAAAAAAATTTATTACTAATTTTTAGTAAATTTATTAGTTAAAAAATGAGTAATAAAAATCAAGCAAATTTTTTATTTGAAAATTTTTTATAATTTTAAATAATAATATTTTAACTAAATTTAACTAAATTTAATACAATAAAAATTTTTAAATAAAATATTACAAAATTTTTTTTTTTTCCAGAATTAAGGTGATCTCTTTGTTCTGGTATCATTTTATTAACAGTAAATGCTAATATAGTTACAATGAAAATACAACTAGTCACTGCACTTTTGGTGCTGTTTACACTAGATGCCTGTACTTGCAGCCCAAACTAGAACTACCTATTTAAACCCTCTGATCATAACCATTTACAGCACATTTCTGGAAACCTGTACACTAATATCTGCTAGCCATACTAGAATTAGAACCTTGCCTTAGGATGCTTGCACTTTATCATGGGTTTGTATTCATTAATTACCAGCTTACATATCTCCGATAAGTAGATACACAGGTATCCTCAAGGTAAACCTACTAGAGCTTTCTGTACTCATTCCAGCCAATCTAGTTCTTGTAGTCTTTGAAGATTCCACTTGCAGTATAGCTTAGTAACTGCTATGCTCTTATAAGGTTTACTTTTCACCCTAATATCTATATTTGGATTTTTTTTTTTCTGTTATTTCCTAATTAATCTATTCCTTACTTCTAACTTACAATTTGGAAGGTTTGATCTAGACCTAACTCTAGGTATCTTTGGCCCATCTTGTCTTGGTACATATTTTTATAGCATATATTCTTTTTTTCTAATTCAGAATTTTTGGTTTGTGTTTTTTAATTCACAGGTTTGCTAGAGTAGAGCCTCTTTGCTACTGGTTTTCCAAGCCAGCGATCCGGTTGGTATGCACTATGTATATCTATCAATTCCCAGTCTTCTTGATTTGTTAGTTTAGTTGATAAATCCTCTACTTAAGAATTTTTTGTTGCTTGGTTTATTGATCTTAGTTCTAACTTCCAAATTTAACAATACCAGGATATAGGATTAATTTTCCAGTCATATAATTTTCTAACGTCAATTAATCAATCAAAAATCAGAATCAGGTGTAATGTAAAGAAACCAAATATTTGCTTTGCAAAAATTGTATTTATCTCAAAATTTAGACTAGTAAATTGACTTTTTAACTCTAACAAAAAAAATTTCTTGTGCAATTTTGCTATACTATAGCTCTTTTTGACTACAAATAATATATAAATAAAAATATAAACTAATTTTTTTGTTCAAAAACTGTTGATATCAGAAAATCATATAACTAAAAAATCAATCCTAGGCCTTGTCAATTTCTCCAAATTTAGTTTTTTTGTAGTACTGTCAAAAGTTTTAGCTACCTCTTTACTCAAGGCTTTCAAACGGATATTGATTATTCCAATTATCTGAATTTCATACACCAAAGCTTCTATTCTAGATAGTATATCAAACTAATAAATATATATAAAAAAGATATTGTCAACTAGTTAAAAATAGGGATCTTATTTAGTATAGGTGGGAATATATAAATATTATAAGATTATTTAATATAAAAAAACTCTAACCCTAATCCAAAGCTAACTATAAACTATACTATGACCCTTACCCTAATCCTAACTATTCTCAAATCTGTTTAGATTAATTATTTTATATTAAATAATCTTATAATTTTATATATTTCCACCTATACTAAATATCAACCGAATATATAAAATATAAGTGTTGTAAGAGTTTATTGTTATTGTAATAGCATGTCAAATGATATATACAAAGTTTTTTAAAAATTAAATCTATTGTTTCAAATCTTCTTTTTTCCAGTGTTTAGAGCTTATATATCAATATAGCTGTCTAGTACAATACTCACAGTAAATATTTGCTTCTAAGTAAAATTTTTAAGATTACTGATAATTTTTTGTTAGTGAAATATTATATTTTCAAAAAATACTTTAAACTGTATAGATAAGTTACTAGACAATTACTTATATCAATCAATAAGACAAATATCTGTTTATAAGCAAAGTGTAGTTCAAATATAATTTGAAAATAGGTACTATACTATTTAAGAAAGGCCTCCAACAGGCTGAAGATCTACTGAGTTATTTTTTGTAGTAGTGAAATAATAAAAAAAATCAAGTTTTTAGCAATACTTGTTATTCCCGAAAAGTCCAAGAAAATAACAAGCATTGTCAGAAAAATAACAAGCATTACTAGAACTTGATTTTTTTTACTAATTAAAATATTAATTATAAGTTGTAAACAGTGTTTAAAATAAACATGCACAAGATGCACATGTGTATATAAGTTTTTTTATGTATATGAATTTTTAAAAAATTAATACACAACTGTGCATTTAAAATTTAATAAAAATAGTATACAAAAAATTTTGTGTATTAAAAAAATTTTATATTTTGATGCACAAAAATATATAATTTAAATATACTTTTTAATTATTAGTAAATAGACCAACATCTAAATTAATTGTTAGTAAACTAAGTTGTCTGCTATTGAGTTGATCAGAATTGAATAAAAATTATTATGATTAATTGATGATCTGCTACTCAATCAGAGAATTTTCCATATTAAAACGTGACACAGATCACTTATGAGTAGATGTCGAATTGAAATTTTCAGGTTATAAGTAAAGTCACAAAATTTTTAACCAAATATGGTACTATAATAGTACAAACGATAGAGCGAAACTTTAAATTCTTGATTATAGCATTATTAAATATCAATCTTCTTTTTTGAAAAACTTTACTCTGTAAATACACGGCATTTACTATGCTAAGCTCTATATTAATTAAATAGCAAGGTAATTAGTAATCTTTGCTTTTAGCTCATTTTGCAACATATTTTATTTTAATTTTTAGACTTTCAAAAATATATTGCACTTAAAAATAGCAACAAGAGTCAGATTTACAGATTTGTGCTATTTACGTTTCAATGTACAATGAGATTTAATATGGTAGATTTTTATATACTATGTGATCATGTAAAAGTTTATATTACTTGAGATCTTTTTTTTTTTTTTTAGTTGTGCTATCTAGGTGTGCTTGGTTTTAGAAAACAATACAAAAGCAACACTTGACTTCATTAGATCTAAGTGGCAGAAGGTGAAAAGACTAGAAAACAATACTTGACTTCTTTAGATCTCAGCAACAGTTCTAGTTCAGAAAGTGAAAAGACACTAGCAAAGAACTGTGCAAGAACAATAATACAATGATCTTGGTAGGTGTATTTTGTAGAGTGCTACGTTATATTTTAGTTTAGAAATTGAACATTGAAAATGTAATTAGTCAATGCAATTTGAAAAACATAATGCTGCTTTTTTTTTGATCTATATTAACATTCTTGGATCAGGTATTAGCGAATGCTAATTTTTTTTTAGGTCTAAGTGTTATAGTCTCAAATTACAAGAAGCAATTACACTTTACAAGAGTATATGGTGACTTTCTTTTGAAGTTAAGTGCAATATTCTTAAGTTGAGGTTTATTGAATACAAATACTGGATATTTTAAAATTTTTATTCAAATATATTTCATATTACAAATATTAACTGTTCTATTTAAGATGCAAAAAGGCAAACCACGTATTATTTTTAATGAAGCACCTATTGGATTTGTGAAATGTTGCATGCGTAAATTTTATATATCATCCAACCCAAGCTCCTTTTCTGTTGCTTTTTGTTTAAAAGCCCGGGTATATGAATTTATCCAATTTTGTATTGTGGAAATTTTTGGAATATTCTCTATTTCAATATCCCTGTTTTTAACGAATTCCAGGAGTTCGGTATGCATGGCCTTTGCGCTCATTTTGTCTTTATCTGCTCGATTCCTGTTCAAAAAAAAACCTTCTAACATAATTTTTATGTTTTTTTTGATTCTAGTGCCACCTCTATTGCCTAACTTTTGGTTTTCTTTTAGTGCCCATCCTTTAGACAATAGGAATTCTTTATCTATTATACTAAATTATAAATTAGTAAGTGGATCAACTTTAATATCTATTAGATTTCTTAATATTTACCTTGGTATTGATATTATCACTAAGGGTTCATTTTGGCTTTGGTCTTCTTTGTTTTGACCCATACTAACATTATCTTTTATTTTTTTGACAAATTAGGTTTTTTTTT